AATGGGGCATATAATGGTAGATGAAATATTTCGCGGCCTCCAGATAGGTTCCCCCGATGATGAGTAGCAATTGGTTAGTTGCTTTTCACATGTGTTCCGCATTAGAATTTTGCCCAAAAATAGGGTTGATTATCCTCGTCATTTTGTTAAATATTTCACTTACTTGGTGTCCGTGTCTTTGGAAGTATGTGTCTCCTTCGTCCTGTGGGTAGAACCTCCTCACATGTTTCTGAACTCTGTATTTATCAAAGTTCTCTCAGGTCATCTCACGTTAGGGCATTCATATGAACACCATTGCAATATAACATGTAAGTATGCGCGTTATATTTTGCCTCTGAAGCTGTCCTGCTCCAGGTACGTCATTATCAGGCTGGTGTGAGCTCTCCTATTATTGTTCGTTCGTCTCCTCTTACAGGGGGCCTCTTAATGTCTGTGCTTTATACTCAATCTGTTTTTTTCTGGAAATTCCCAGAAAAATTCTGTGTGTATCTGCTATGTTTGGGGACGTTTCCATATTCTCCTCGTTTAAACAGTTTCCTATGTGGCCACCCAGGTACAATTTCACGTCTTGTGAATTCTATTGCTTTTTGCATTCATCCGGAAGCCTCATGAATAGCGGTATCGGCAATTCCGTATGTATATCTTCATCTGTAAGTACACACACTTCGTGGTTATGCACCTCCCGTTTTTCTTTATCGCATCTTGTTCCCGACTTGTTATCAGTCGTCTCATATATCACATGCTCGGCTGTTTCCTTCTGGTGGAGCTTTATAACTTTACCAGACAAACTATCTGGAATGTACTGTTTCATACGTATGGGCTGTTTTGAAACCTAATTTCTACATACACTTCCTTGTGTTTGTATGAAAAGAGTTTGTGGCTCCTCGTTAAATTGATTGTTTTCGGACATTACAATTTCCTGAACGCATTGTTGTTCCGTTTTGCGTCTTTGGTGTAATCTGTGGAATTAATTGTTCTCTTTCAACATATCAAAAATATACGAGTATTTATGTTCGAAACTATGCCACTAATGTTTTGGTATGTACAGATCACCATAGTTGTGTGCATCTATTCTCATTAGGTTTCTCCGTCGGGTAATTCCACCTATCACACCTTTATTTATCATAAATGTGTGCACCACTACTTGGAGGAGATGTTTCTTGGTAAATTTGCATTCTTCTTTTTTGATTCATCTAAAAGTTCTGTATGTATATATAGAATCTTCTACGGAACGTCTCTTTTTCATTTTGCATGTATACACTCTTTGGGATGTCTTAATTACATATTAACTACTCATATTCAAGGTCGCGCAATGGTACGTGGTCATTATCATATCATATCTCCTTCTTTTTTTGGCAGTTATGGCCAAACATTGCTGTGTCTAGGTGTACCCTTCTTCCGGCTTTGGGCTTTCTGTGTTTCAGGGGAGACTGCGATTCTAAGGGCGTGTATTGCTCTAGGGGACAGAGTTGGCACGAGAAGTAAGTTCCGCTTCCCTGGCGTCTTCTACATATTGACCACAGTGCACTAAATGATATTTTTTGCTTGTATATATATATACATATATCTATACTTCCATAAGAAAGGTAAACTCTGTAATGGGCCCCCCAAGTATTAAGATAATAAATAAAACCTCAATAAATGCAATGGCATCATTATATAGTGTTTAGAACGCTATACCGCATTTGGGGTGTGCTCAGGACTACTAGTTCCGTATCCCGAAAAGTAGTAAACATAATGACAAAGGGGGGACATACCTGGCACTGAAGGACATTATGTACTCCCGATAGCGATGAATTTATGTGTAGTGCGCTGTGGCACATTTGCAGAAAATTATACGTGAAGAAACGATGAAGGTGGATAAAGTATACTAAACATACTCGGAGAAGGAATTGGCTGCAATTAGACACAAGCGGTGAAGGATATTTTTGCTAAATATTCAATTAATAATGAACTGAAGGAGTTTATAGTTATTTATTTTGATAACAAATCCCTCACTCATGTGAATCTGATATTCCCTTAGAGGATATACCCTTCTGGATATTGAGTTCTAAGATGATCTCAGCACCCTATCATGGTATTAATGGAACTGTCAACTCTGTCACTACCCCGGTTTAATACTAAGTAAAGAAGAAATCGATTTTGAATAAAAAGATTGACTAAATGGGAAGACGTATGCGGGTGAATAGTAAGAGTTAAAGATTCTTGGCCATACAATACACCATGCGGGGGAGAAGATATTGCAATAATTATATTTAGGCATTTCTCTTGTCCAGTTAGGCCACCCTCTCACTATTACGAATGTCGTAACGCGGTCTGATTAATTTGGTGGGGAGGATTACTTATTATCGGCAAAATATAAGAAAAAAAAGAACCAAGGAGTGTGAGTATTACACCCCTATGTAAAGCGACGGACGATACAGTGACATGAAAGTATGTCAATCAGAATCAAACCGGAATCGATAGGGAATGACGACGATAATGATAAACCACTTGATTCTGATTACCCCCAGATATATATAATACGAAAGGGAACGAAGATAGTGAAACAATTGTCGGGGTTGTTATAAAATATTACAACAAATACGTCATAGAGATTAGGAAGAAATTCCAGTATTGAATCATGAAGAGAAACTGACAATAACAGATATATGTGATTATAACGTCCTCATCTCTGCATATGATGAATGGCAGTAAACTAACGAAACAACCTACGGCATTCCTCATTTGGACTGGTTAAGCTATTTTACATTATGGGTATGAACTGGTGATGCATCACTTCTGAGAGGGATAAGCAGGATATTGGCGCCAGAAATACACGTAATTTACATCCGTCTATACATTGCTATCATTTCTTGAAAACAGCCTATGTGTCGTTGACTCCTTTACACCTGACCATGGAACATATATCCATGGATATACATAGAAATATGTATATTTTTCCTCTTCTATATGTGGGATTAATTCATGAGTCATAAAAATAAGAAATTTTAACCTGGGGAATTATGATGCCCATCTGGCGCCATAAAGGAAAAGGCTACACAAAAACATCACCAGAAGGAAAAAGAATAGTACGGATGTTTAAACATCTTTAAGCACAGGGAAAACATAATTACCAGTATATGCTGATTCAAATTAGAAGATTGTCCAATTGGCATAGAGATTTTCACCCTCAAATTACACAGTTGGTCATGAGGGGTTTCATCTATGTATATATAGAGGGAGTATCGGATTATCGAATTTGAACTGGTATAATATGAGTTCTAATTCCACATTGAACTTTAATTGTATGTTGCATACGATTAGAAGGGCCCCTATAGCGTCCAAATGTGTTCATGCCTTCCTGTGGAAACTCGGATCAGTTCAATACAATAGACAGGTGCAGATCCAATGAGCACAGCGTGGAATGGTTGGCGGTCGTGTTTATATGGCTTTTTTTATAGTTACGTTATTCTTGTGAATGGGTTCTCATGCTCCATTGTTTTTGTGAGTGTCCTCCTTGATGTTTCGATATCTTCACTAGTATCCCCCGGCAGGTTGCATTCTTCTTGTGTATGTTTTTTTCCCGTTTCTACATTTTTATAAGTATGTTAATTCATATCACAGCTTCCTTGCATATCAGTTCCAATGCCGCATAGTACTTGTGGAGGCGCCTTCCTGATGTATCATTCCCATGAGTGTGTTTTTTCATGTTGCTGCATCCTTAAGAAAATATTTTTTCATGGCGCCCCTTTGTTATATATGCGTCTTCATGTGGC